CAATGATAGTATTATGTTCTGCCAAAAAAAATTTAATTTAATTTGAGAACATAGAAAATGTAACGCTTTTGGGACACCAAGCTTGTTGAGAACAAACAAATTTTGTTTTTGGTGCAATCTTATAGTAACTGAAATTTTATTAAAAGAATTTAAATTATCAAAAAAATATATATTAAAGTTCAAAAGATATGGTCAAAAATTGTTTAATACCCATCCCCCCTCAAAAAAATGAGTTTTCAAATTTTACCATAACTTTATGACCATAACTTCTAAAGTACATAAGAATTTTGTAAAGAAACTTTTTAATGAATTTTAACTTGATTTAATAAACTAAAAAATTAAAAAAAAATTGAAAATTTTTTAAAGGCACATTTCCCTTTCTCAATTAGAGCAGGTGGCCTCAAATTTCGGGGTTTTCTTGTTCTCAAACTCTATTCACAGTTTATTTTTGAACATATCTGCCCTTTTGACACTAGCATATTTATAAAAAAGAGTTAGTTTATGGTATAAAAATAGCTTAAGTGCATTAATTACCCTTTATTAGTTGTTTATAGTTATTTAAAGGTAATGACGGTTAACTAGAATTTAATGAAGTTTGGAATCGGTATTTAAATTTATTTAATTAAAGGTTATTTATAAATTTAGTCTTGATTTTTTATTAAATATTAAAGTTATAGATAGGGTTTAGGAGATTTTAAAAGAGCTTAAAAGATCTCATAAGTTGAACAGACTTATGAGATCTTTTAAGCTCTTTTAGTCTAGTATTGTTGCTTTACAAAAACAGTAAGTGTATTTGAATTACAAAAAAAATTGGAAAAGCTCGTTGTAAAGCATTGTCATAATGACTATAGTAATAAGGTTATGAAGTACCACGCTGGACTGTACCTGGTTAACGCTGGAAAACATCAGTTAAACGGAAATGGAACAACGAATCTTTAAGCAATTTCTACTGCAGAAGACGTTGCAAAATTTGAAAATTCGCAACTAGTAATATCTTGGACAAACAAAATTAGACAAATAAAGCAGAAAGAAAATAACTTCAGGAAAAGTTGGTATTTGCAAGAGTTCAAATGCTGCTTGCTTTAACGTTTGTCAAAAATATTTTGATGTTATTGTTAAAGGAATACGCCATAAATACTATCCTGGAAAGGACTCAAAGAATCTGGTATCTTAAATAAAGTTATTAAAGTAAAATATTTATAAAATATATATCTCTAAAATTTATTGATAAAACTGTAACTTAAAAGCTATATATTTCTTATTATTATCTCATTTGTAAAACAAATTTTTCACTTTCCTATTGTTTAGGTTCAAGGCTAAGTAATGATGATGAAGTAATGAATATTTTGAAAGGTATATACTTAAACAATGGTATGGAAAAATGTGAAGAACTGCTGTTTACCACTGGTACGTTATAAATCCTGCTTTCTTTATATTTATTTGTAAAATGTTTTGTCTTTCTAAGCATATTTGTCAACTATTTAGGTGGTTTCAAAGTCCCCAGAAATTTAGGTCAAGCTAGTATGAAACAGACAGAAATATCGTTTTAAGAGTTTGACAAGTTATTTGCTTGCAATTAACTCAGTTCAAATCAAATGTTTTCTTGAAGACCTTCAGGCAAAATGGAGTTAAATTTGAAAGTAATATGGAAAAGAAATAGGATGATAAAACACTTAAAATACTTAAGAACTTCTAAGTTTTAGAAAATGTTTCTTTGGAAGATAAAATGCAAAGAATACCAAATCATGTAAAAAGAGATTTATGTAAAAGATATTTCAGAATATCTTGAGTTTGAAAATGAGTACAGAAAGCAGGATCTCCTCAGTACCTTTGGAGGAGTAGGCATATATTAAGGCTATGGCCGTTTTAATACTATAGATGAATAATAAAAACTTTAAATTAAAAGAATAATGAGTAAATAAAAACATTTAATGTGGAGGTTTAATGAAAGCTATTGCAAACTTGTTCAATCCAAACCAACACAGAGTCACTGATGGGAATGATAGGGGAACTTACTCTGGAATGAATTCTGCTCTTGTATTAGCATACTGTAAAGATATGCAAGAAACACTCAGGCTTTCCTGAAAAACAAATGACAAATTTTAAAGTTTTTAGTTTTTTATATATTTGTAATCTAATAAAGCGATTTTTATACAAAACTTAATATTATGTTCCATTTATTTTTAATCAGAATGTTGTGAAGCCTTGTCTTACTAAGGAAGATAAACCTGAGAAGCTTGTCATAAGCATAATAGCTTTACCAGAATTTCATCTTCTCATGGGTTTGGTAAATTACATTTGTAATTATATCATACCTCTCTGGGCAGGTTTAAATAATAGCCTTGGTGTTATATGGAAAGGGTATTACGAAGGTAAATATGATGGTAATAC